CTGGACCAGACTCCTCCAAGCCATCCCCAACACAGCTTCCAGCCTCTCTCTTCCTCCCCACCCTCCACCCTGCCAAAGCTTCTCTGAGCCCAACTTTGCTTTGCCCTAATGTCCTCCTCTCCCACATTATGCTCCAGCCACACTGTTCCAAGAACCAGGTTCTGCCTTTGGCTATCTGACAAACTCTTACACATCCTGCAAAGCCCTGGCTCCAATGCCCCTTCCTCTGTGCAGCCTTTCTCTCAATCCCCTTTAGCCCAGCCCTAACCCCTCACGGTTGGGAGTACCTGTGCCCAGTACTGGTTCCCACCGACCTAGGGGTCTCCCAGGCAGGATGAGGAAAACGTCTGCCACCCTCTCCTTGCAATTCCAGGTCCCCACACCTGCCCCACCAGGCCCAGAGATGCTCGCTGTGGTATAGTTCACGACAGGGAAACAAAAACTCGGCATGCTGGTGTCTAGCCAGACGAGGCAAAACCCTACAACAGCTAGAGAAGCAGGCGGCTCGGGACACCCCAGCAACGCTCTGAACCAACCCCAGAAAAACAGCACGTCAAACTCAGCATCGGGTGGAACCTTCTCACCCCGCCACGAAGGTCACATCTTAGACACCCCAGGGGCCACGTTCCTGGGTGTCCGTGGGTAGGGACAGGCCTGGAGAACCCCTGGGGTCAGGGCGCAGCTGGAAGGTCACAGCAAGCGTTCCCTTTTCCCTCTCTACAACAATGTTGTCAAATGCTACTTCTGGAAACAATAGTGGATTTTCAAAACCTACCAATGTACATTTCCCATAATTAAAGAAATCTAAATGAAGTCCAGGCGAGGTGGCTCATGCCTGCAGTCCCAGCTACTCGGGAGGCTGAGGAAGGAGGATCACTTGAGCCCGGGAGTTGGAGGCTGCAGTGAGCTGTGACCGTACCACCGCACCCCAACCTGGGCTTCCCCAAGCCCCGCAGCCACGGGCTCCCTGGGCCATCCCTCCGAGGCACATCTTGGGGTCGCACCCCAGCTCTGACACCTCCCCCACGTGACCGTGGGCAAGCGGCTTGATCTCTCCTGTCTCGGTTTCCCCTTCTGCACAACGGGGACAAGAGCAGCTCCCTCTTTGTAGGACCAAGTGAGGAGACTGGGGACAACGCGCACAAAACACTCAGCCTGCTTCCTGCGCATCAGCGACCGTGTTTAAAACCCGGCTGGCGCTGTCGCTTCCGCGATTCTGAGCTTGTCAGGGGGCTCAGCGGTGAGCAGACTTGACCCTGGGATGCAGGGAAAATCCCAACATTTAATGCAAGTGAAGCCACGGCGAGAAGCCCCACCACCCCCGTCAGGAAAGCGAGAATCAAAAAGTCCACGGCAAGAAGTATCGGTGAGGACACGGAGGGCCCGGGACGCTCCCACAGGGCAGGCGGGAATGCGCCAAGGGGCGGCCACACAGGACAGTGCAGCGGCCCCTCTACCGGGCAGACACGGAGTCCCCATGTGACCCAGCAATTCCACTCCCACACACGCACCCGAACACAACGAAAACATACGCCCACATAAAAACTTGTACGGCATCGCAAAGCCAAAAGGCAGAAACGGCCTAAGTGTCCGTCAACGGATAAGCAGATAAACTCATCATGGTCCGTCCACACGTGGAGCGTCACTCGGCCATGAAAAGGGACGAGGCTCTGACACAGGCGACGGCATGGTGAACCCTGAGGACGTCGTGCTCAGTGAGAGACGCCAGACACGGAAGGACACACAGTGTGAGACTCCATTTACATGAAACGTCCAGAACAGGCAGAGCCACCGAGATGGGACGTGGATTCGTGGTCGCCAGGGGTTGGGGGTGGGGGTGGGGTGGGATAGGGGAATAACAGCTAAAAGGTACAGAGTTTACTTGTGAGTTAATAAAAAACTGCTCCAAAAATCAACTGTGTTAGGCCGGGCGCGGTGGCTCACGCCTGTAATCCTAGCTCTCTGGGAGGCCAAGGCGGGCGGATTGCTCCAGGTCAGGAGTTCGAAACCAGCCTGAGCAAGAGCGAGACCCCGTCTCTACTATAAATAGAAAGAAATTAATTGGCCAACTAATATATACAAAAAATTAGCCGGGCATGCTGGCACATGCCTGTAGTCCCAGCTACTTGGGAGGCTGAGGCAGGAGGATTGCTTGAGCCCAGGAGTTTGAGGTTGCTGTGAGCTAGGCTGACGCCACGACACTCACTCTAGCCTGGGCAACAAAGCGAGACTCTTTCTCAAAAAAAAAAAAAAGTGCATTTAAAATGTACTCGACACTTAGCCGAGTTGTGGAGACTTAAGGTTCGAATCCCTAAGCGGCTGAAGATCTGTGATTAAGGGTCTGTGGGTTTAAAATCCCAGCACGGCCACGTTCTGGAGCCCAGGCACGGCCGCGTCACAGACAGGACGCCACGTCCAGGCGCAAGGTCCCCGTCGCACCCTGCGATGCCTGGCCGGCCTCCCGCAGCGTGTCCCGGGCTGCCCCGGCTGCGGCAAGGCTCCAGGTCTTAAAGGAAAGCGCGGGTGGCTGCGCGCCTGCCCCTCCCGAGCCCTGCCCGGCCTGGCTGGTGTCCCCAGCCCCGCAGCTGTCGAGGATCTGCAGGCAGGCGGAAGCGGAAGCAAGCCCCAGGCCCTGCCAAGACCAGGGAGGAAGATGCGGACGCCGTGCCAAGTGGGCCGCCAGCCGGCCAGGGCCGCCACGTGCCAGGAAGGAGGTGGGGCAGGCGCCAGAGTCAACACGGGCCCAGCCAGGGGGGGCCCCAACATCTGCTGGGCTGGCTGGGCCCAGGCCACTGTTGACACTGGCTACACAGGTGTCTGGCCAGCTGGGCAGGAAGGCGGCACGGGCAGCTGGACCCGCCGCCAACGCCCCAGGACTGCAGGGCCGCCCCGTCTGCCCGCACGCTCCCTCGCCCCCATCCCCTGGGAGCCCGACCCCATCCCCGAGAGACCCGGCCTGGGGCGCTGCATTGACCCTACACAAGCACCAAGCCCAGCCCAGCCTCAGGGCCTTTGCACAGGCGGCTTCCGTTGCTCCCGCGGGAGTGCCCGGCTCCTCCTTGCCGCACAAGGCTGGGCCCCCTTGTCACATCCTGACCTGCGTCTAGAGCTGAAGCTGGGAGGGGCCCCGCGGTCGCCACCTCACTGTCACTCGTGGCTTGTTCACTGAGCTTGACCCCAAAACGCCAGCCCCTGAGGGTGAGCACCAGAGCAGACTGCCTTCAGGACACTGAGGCCCCCCCCCGCCCCAGCCTCAGTTTCCCCACCTCAGCTTCCTGTTGCAGAAGAGCCCCTGGACGGCCCCGGCTACCACAGCACCTGCGACCCCGACCCCAGTGTCCCCCAGACAGACTGGACAGTGGCTCCCTCGGCTGGCCTTCGTTTCTGGCACGTGGAGGCCCTGCCTGGTCTGGCCTGGCCACCCAAAAACTCCCCCATCAGCGTTGGGCCTTGGGGGCCACCTGGGTGGGGCGTGCGGGCTGGGGTCCTACTGACCTCCAACGGCACCAGGCCGTGACCTCCCTCTGGGCCGAGCCGTGACCCTGCAGGGGTGGAGGTGCCCATTTGGCACCCACCACCCCCAGCCCGAGGCCCGGACCCAGGGCAAATGCCGGGTGAACAAACACGCCTAATTAAATATTCAGGCCCCCCACCCTGAGCTTGGTTTTCTCGCCTGCGAAATGGGGGCAGTGCAGCCCCTTCTGCAGGGGAGGAAAACTGAGGCACAGGCAGGGTGGAACCGACAAGTCGCCCACTGCACTGGGCCAAGCACAGGCTCAGGCCGAGCCCCACACGCAAGGACATGGCGCGACTCCAGAGCCTCCCTCGGGGCCTCACGTGGGGGCCCAGCCACGCTGCCCAGGGGGCACAGCTGCCAAGCTCAGCGCCTCTGCCACGCCGGACCCGGAGCCCCACGGATCGCTGCCCTGGGCCTCATCCACCACCTACAGCGCCGGCCCTCGCCCCCTGCCCGCCCGCCCGCCTCCAATTCCAGCCATTTGCCAGTTTTCGGCCCAAACATGAAGTCTCTTGAGTGCTGCCGGGACTAGAGTGGCCTTTCCCACCGGTCACCCAGGGACGCTTGGAGCAGGGAGCCCCATGGTGGCCTCAGGCCAACCCTGGAGGTCCAGGTTCCAGAGGGGGCCACCCTGGGGCAGGTGTGTGTCCCCCCAAGCCACAGCCCGCCCCCCTGGGGCCACCCTGCCTGGGCTTGAGTCCTGGGCCAGAGGTGAGTTCCCACCAGCCGCCCTGGAGGGAGGCCGGAGGGAGGCCGGGGCAGGCCCAGGGCTGGAATGTGAGCCCACTGGCCGCCTGGCCGCCATCTGGTTTCCATCTGCCCAGCCCAGCCGGGCCCAACTTCAAAGGATCCCCGCCCGGCCACTTCCTCTGGCCCGGCTGCCCTCGGGGAAGAGCCAGGGCGGCCCCTGCTTCCTCCTTGCCCCTCCCGGGGCCCAGGGTCCCCGAGACCCCCTCCTGGCCCCGGCGCCAACCACCCACTCAGAGCCTCTCACGCCCTGGCTCCTGCTGTCCACCCCAGAACCATGCTGGAGCCACCCCAGTGTCCCCTCGCCCGCTGCCCGTGGCCGGCAAACCTCACAGCTCTCTGTAGCCTGGACCCCACCAGACCGAGGGGCCGCACCAAGTCACCAAGGCCCCCGGCTCTCTGCCCGCATCCCTGGCCTCCACCGACAGCACGCGGCAAGCTCAATCCAGCCACCCAGCCCTCACCTGGCTGCCCCCTCCCAAGACCCCTGTCCCTCTCTCCACCATCACCTCTGCTGAACCTCCGGCGTGGGTGCAGGGGAGCCGCCCCCCAAGTCTGCATCCTGGCTGGCGCTCCCCATTCATTCGCACAGCAGAGGTCTGAGGGCACATCCCTCCCACGGCCGGGGCTTCCCCATCCTGGCACCGACCCCATGCCTGGCACTCTGCAGCGCCCAACTGCGGGACCGGCAGCCGCCAGCGCCTGGTCCACGCCGCCCCCACGCCACACTGCCCACCTGCTTGAACTGCTCCTCGTAGGTCCAGTCCCCGTGGTCTGGCGGCTGCAGCTGGGGCGCCGTGTGGGCGGGCCCCCCGGGGTGGGCAGGGCCAGGCCCTGGACGCTCCTGGCCCCCCAGCGCCCTGGGAAGGGCGTCGCTGCGGAAGGCCTGGGGCGGCTGGGCCTTTCGGGGGAACAAGGCAGCAGAGCCCAGGCCGGCAGGGCCCGGGGGCCCCAGCCCCTCCTCATCCTCCTCCTCTTCTTCGTAATCCTCCTCCTCCTCCTCCTCCTCCTCCTCTTCCTCCTCATCCACCAGGTCTTCCTCGAGCTCCTCCTCCTCTTCCCACTTTGGCTTCCTGGGGCGAGCAGAGCGCAGGAGTCAGGGGAGACGGTGCCAATGCCCCCCCACAGCAAGGTCCCCTCCCTGTCCCAGCCTCAGTTTCCCTCTGACGACAGGGAGAACCAGCCCCCACGGGCTCAGGCTGCAGAGGGCCTGTGCGCACAGCTGAGCAGGGCACCGGCCATGCCCATTTTGTCCCCTATTAGCCTAGAACGGCATGAGCTGCCCCTTCATCCTGAACCCCAGGCCCTGCCGGCCTCCCAAACCCCCGGCTCAATCCCACCCCCAACCCTGGCCCCAGCCGCACAGGTGTCCTTGTGGGGCGTGAACATCATGGGCAGGACGGCCCCTGCCTCAGGGCCTTTGCTCAGCTGTTCCCTCCGCCATGGTTGCCACCTTCCCTCACCTCTACCTAAAGCTGGCTTCGAGGCCCCCGCCATGGAATCTGCCATAGCCACGTGTGGCCACATTGCTTTAAATTAACTGAAGCAAAATAAAGTTAAAGACCCAGATCAGGCTGGGCGCGGTGGCTCATGCCTGTAATCCTAGCACTCTGAGAGGCCGAGGCGGGCGGATTGCTCGAGGTCAGGAGTTCGAAACCAGCCTGAGCAAGAGCGAGACCCCATCTCTACTATAAATAGAAATTAATTGGCCAACTAATATATATATATATATATATAAAAGATGAGCCGGGCATGGTGGCGCATGCCTGTAGTCCCAGCTACTTGGGAGGCTGAGGCAGAAGGATTGCTTGAGCTCAGGAGTTTGAGGTTGCTGTGAGCTAGGCTGACATCACGGCACTCACTCTAGCCTGGGCAACAAGTGAGACTCTTGTCTCAAAAAAAAAAAAAAAAAGACCCAGATCAGTGGCCACATTTCAAATGCTTGGCAGCCACGGGTGACCCAAGGCTCCTGGACCAAACAGTATAGAGAACGTTTCCGTCATCACCTGGAAAGTTCTACCACCTGGCACTGCTCCTGACACCAGCCCCAGAGGACAGGGTTTTGTCTCCCCTTCCCGGCTGGGTCCCGGGGCCCAGAAATGCCCGGCATGCACCCATTTCACAGATGAGCAGAGTGAGGCTCAGAGCCCCGGGACACCCCTGCCCCCCACACTCAACTCACAGGTCCTCGTCTGAGCCCAGCTCCTCGAAGTGCCCGTCTCCTGGCCCTTCCCTGCCTTGGCCGGGCCGGGTGGGTGAGCCTGGTGTCCCCTCCCGGGTGGCGTCCTCATCCTCTGAGCCTGGGGGCCCATCCTCAGAGCCACCAGGGCTGGGCGGATGTCCGAGGCCAGCGGCTGCAGCCCTCATGGCGGCCAGCGCAGCCATCTGGGCCCGCTGCATCCGCGCATCAGGCTCTCTGTCCTCATCCGTGGCCGCCCGAGCCCGGGCAGGGGGGCCGGCGGGGGTGTCGAGGGGCGGCTGCTGCCGGGCCTCCAGCTCCTGGCGCGCCCGCTGCTGCCGCTGCAAGAGCGTCTCCATCACAGCCTGCAGCTTCATGGCCCTGCGGGCTGGGCCACCACCACCCCGGCCACTGGGGGTGGGCGGCGGGGGCGGCCCCTGCGGGGAGGGGGCCTGGCCACACTGCAGCGTGGGGGCCGCGGGGGAGCCGGGGCAGTGCAGGGTGGCGGGGGGTGGGGGCGGGGGCCGCCGGGCTCAGGCTGAAGGCTGGTGGGGCATGCCTCCTCCTCACGCCGGGCAGCGGGGGGCAGCGGCTGGTGGCTGGCTCATCCACGTGTTTGCGGAGACCTGGGGGCGGCAAGAGAGACAGACGTCAGAGCTCGCCTGGCCCCTCGGCCCCTCGCTGCCAGCGAAGGCCTCCGGGAAACCCCGCATCCACTCCCGGCAGGATGCAAACCTGGGCACCTCCCTGGAGGCAGAGGCGCCAGCTCTCCCCATCTGCCTCCCTCTGCCGGCCCTGCAGCAGGCCTGGGTAGCACGGTCACCCCGCACTGTACCCCAAAGGCCTCAAGGCCCCCGCCCGTCTGGGCCACAGAGAAACACGCTGTCGCCAACTGTGCCTGCCCGGGGCAGATCCCAGGTTATTGCTTCACAAGCAGGGTAGCGGGGACGGGCATTCCTGGGCTCGGATTGGCCAGCCGGCTCCCGGCCTAGGGTTCTGCGTTCCGGTTCTGAGTTCCAGGTGCTGCCTGAGCCTGTGCTGTAGCAACCAGGCCCGGACATGCTCCCATCTCAGACTAACAGAGAGTAAGCACTTGCTGGATACGGCCCTCCCCCACTCATTCGACTCATACCAACAGCAACACCCAAGCCACAACCTCTCTGGGCCTTGGTTTCCCCATCTGCAAAACAGCTAGGACAGCGGCACCCACCTCACTGCACCCGAGTAGGGGCGCACGGCGGGAAAGGAGGTACTAGGCCAGTCCCCCTTTCATAGATGAGGAAAAGTGAGGCCCAGAGATCCCCAGTCAGGCTGGATGTGAACCCAGGTGTGGGTGACGTCAGAGCCTCCCACGCTGCCCCCACGCGCTCTGCAGGGAGGAGCGGTCTGGAGTTCCCCGTCCTCTGGGATACCAAGTGGGCCAAATGTTTCAGAGTGCAACACGCTCACCCCAGCCGGGGGTCCCTTGACGCCTGCCAGCCCCCGCCAGGGACTTCCAGGACCTCCAGGACCTGGGTCCCACCCCAGCCCAGGTCACACACCCATCTGCACAAGCCGCCAATAAAACAGATGGGGCAGAACCCAGTAGGCCCATGGGTGACAGACACCCCAAGGTACATCCTGGGGACAGTGGGAGTGGCAAGCTCCACCCTCCTCCAAGGCAGAAGGTCCAGAAGGCTGCCCCTAACCTCTAACCTGGAAATGGAACCCCCAAGGCTGAACAACACCTCTTGCCAGACAGGGGAGGAGGGGCCGGTGCAGTCACTAGGTGGGGCAGAGGCTGCACTCCAGCCCTGCTAGCGAGCTGCTGAGACCTGACCCCACCCTGGGGAGTCCTGTCTTGCAGTACAGACCTCACTACCACCCCCAGCCTCCCCAGTGACAAGAGGGTCCCCTGCAGAAGCCACAGGAGGGAGCCCAAGGGCTGCCCTCCTCCCCAGACACCCTTTACCCAGACCCCTTTGTCACCTGTAGGGGAAAGAGGTAGTGGTTAGGGGGCAGGTAGGTGGTCCCTGTGACAAAGGGGGGAAGGGTGCATATCCCCAAATAGCCTCAGTGTCCCCCGTTGGGAAGGGGCAGAGGTCCCTGGGCACAAAGACCTTGGGGACCCTGGTGCTGGGGAATGACCATGGGGCCTGGTCCTCCAGAGGCAGCAAAAGCAGCACCCAGCTCCCCCAGAAGTGCTGAGAGGACATTTCTGGCCCAGTGTCTGGTCTGGTCCATTGCCCCTCCCCCACATTTGACAACTTCAAGACAAGCCCCCCCCACGGAAATGCTCCAAGCAATACCCCCCTTCTTTGGGGGGGCAGAAGGAAGGGGCCAGAGGAAGCCACTCCCCCCCCCACTCACCGCCCTCCCAGGCCTGGCTGGTTTAATGACCCTTCCGGGTCGCCTGGTGGGGGGAGGGGAGCAGGCTTCCAGTAGGGGCCGGCAGAGGGGGCAGGTGGGAACCCCAGAGTCCCCCTAGGCCAGGCCTGGGCTGCTCCCCATCGCAGTCATTAACCCCAAGCTGTACATGCCCACCCCCTCCAGACCCCTCCCCCCAAGAGCCCTTTGTCCTCGGCCCCCCACCCCCATTTTATGACAGCCCCACGGGAGAGGCGTTCCGGGCAGGGACCAGGGGTGCTGGGTGGTCGCTGAGACCTGGCTGGGGTTGGGGGGTGGGAGGGACCCAGGGCCACACCCTCCTCCCCCCACACCGGCTGGGGGGGAGAGGTCACCCGCTCAGGCCGGGCCTTGCAAAACACGGTTATTTAAAGAGTTGTGCAAGGCCGGCCCGCGGGTGGCGAAAGGGGCCCCTCACTCCACGGAGGGACGAGGGGGGAGGGGCGGGGCCGAGCGCTGGGGAGGGGGCTCAGCAAGTGGGGGGGGCGCAGAGGAAGTAACAGAAGAAAAACTCAAGAAGGAAAAGAAACAGGACGACAAAAACCCGGGTCCGGATTTCAAAAGCTTCTTGGAAAGCGGCCGATTTGCATGGGGGGGCACCCCCTCCGGCCCGGGGACGAAAAAGGGAAGAAAATCGCCGAGCCCAGGGTTGCTGCCGACGTTGGGGTTGACAAACGCGCGTTCCCCGCGCTTCCTGCGCCTGCTGCTCTGTCCGGGGGACTCCGGACCTGAGTGGGGGGGCTCTTCCCTGGGACCCCCGCCCCAACAGGGGCCCCTGTTCGCGCCGGGGCCGCCACTTTATAAATAAACCTCCCAGGCCTAGGAGGGTCTCTGGGAGCTGCCCTCCCCTCGGGGCTCCGAATAAACCCCAGATTTCGGGGAGGGAGATGAAATAATGAAATAATAAAGTCTCGGGGTGCAGCCCCCGTCTCGCGCTCCCAGCCGTTTCCTTCCGCTGGGGAGGGTGGGAGCGCGCGCTCGTGACCCCCGATCTTCCGCGCGCCCCTCTGCGACCTGGAGGGGGTGAGGTCCCCCAGCGCGGGGGGCGCAGAGAAGCCCCCCAAACCCCGAACTGCGCCCCGCTAGGGTCGCCTGCCCAGCCCAGGACCCCCTCCAGCGCCTCAGCCCATCTTCGAGGACCCCCTCCGCTTGGCTTCCAGGGCGCAGCGCACCCATCCCGGGCCCGGAAGCAAGTGGCCCCCCAGCCGCACCGCGCGCGCCGGCCCGGGGGACGCACGCCCCGCGCCCGCCGCACGCCCTACCCGGCCCCGCCAGCCTCCCCGACCCGCCGGGCTACGCCGACTCACCGAGTCGCCGGCCGCGGCCGCGTCTACACCCCCCTCCGCCCCGATTGGGACGAGACTCCCCGCGCGCGCCGGCCCCCCGCCCCGCCCCTCCCCCACCGGCGCTCGCCGCCCCGCAGACAAATCACCGGGTGACAAATCGCTCTCGGATGCAAATACCTCGCCGGTGATTCAGCGCCGCGGCCGGGCGCGGGGGCCTCGCGAGGCCCCCTCCCTGCTCCCCGGACGCCCCCTCGGCTCCCGGGCTCGGCCCCGCCTCGGACGACTCGCTGAGGGGCGCTGGAGACGGGGGAGTGCACCGGGATTTTCAGGTCGCGGCCCCTTTAAAGGATAATAAATAATGAAAGGGAAGGGGAACAGCGCCACGGGACGCTCCGCCCCCTGCCTAGGGAGAGTCGCCAATGTGCGCGCCGCGGCGGAGAACGCAGAGGGCGCCCAAACCGCAGGCAGGGCAGGGAGCGCGGGAGGGGAAGAGGATGGGGGAGGAGAAGGGAGCTGAGCCTCCGCCCAGACGGGCCCAGAATGGCTGGGGGGACCCACGTGGAGTTCGGGACCCCCTTGAGTCTTACCTAGCTCCTAGGATGGGCCTACTGGACTCGGAATTTCACCTCTGTCCCTTAGATGGAGCCACGGGGAGGGAGTGACTTCACCTCCCACCCCCAACCTCGGTTTCCAAGTCTGTGAAATGGGATTAAAGACCCGGGAAGACCTACGCTCCGGACCCGGGCAGATCTGGGGCTGGGGCGGGGCCGGAGGGAGGGAGCGGGGCCCGCCTGGGGGCGCGCTAAGGAGGGGTATCAGGGAGGGGTCTCAGGAGGGATCTCAGGGAGGGGCATGGGGAGGAGTCTCGGGAGGTCTGGGGACGTCCCCTACCCCGCACCGTCGCCGCCGCTGGGAACCTGGCAGTCCACCAACTAGGCGGGCCCAGAGGATCACCCTCGCGACAATCACAATTTAATAGTAATTTCCACGTTCGGAGCCGTGGGAGGCCCGACCACGTGCCCGGGGCGTGCGGTCCATGCATGTGTCCAACGCTCGCGGCTCTGAGTAGCAGAGGCCTCCTTGTACTCATTTGGCCGAGCGGGAAACTGAGGCATAGAGCCGGGTGCGGGGGAGCTGGTGGATGGGGGGCGGGTATGGGATCAGCCCGGAGCTCTGCACTCTGGAGGCGACCCCAGGGGGCTCATTGCTGGGGCCCTGGCACCAGCCCTGTGGGAGCGTGGAGGGGCCCGAGGACCACGAGGACCACCACTGACCGCTCGAGGGTCCCTGGTCTTGGGTGTTGGGGGGTCGTTGGCAGCCCCTCCCCCTTATCTAAGGCACACTGCATTGCCGCTTCCTCTAGGCCCTACCCCCACATTGCGCCCCCCCATTGCTGGCCACTCTGCGGGAGGGTCCCAAGTCCAGGCTGGAGGGGTGGGCTCAGGAGAGCTGCCCCCCCAGGGCCAGGTCGCAGGTGTAGTGCAACAGCAGCAGGTGCCTGGGAAACCTCCACCCTCAGGCTGCCCGCAGGTCTCCAAGGCGAGCCTCCTCCCACCAAACATGGAGCACTTGGAGGCCAACAGACAGGAAATGACCCCTTTCCCCACCTGGAAGGCAGGTACCCTGGGCCTCTCTGGTGCCTCAGTTTCTCCCTCTCCAAAATGGGCCAATATTAATTCATGCCTTATCCAGTAGGTTTTAGGATTACACTTCCCCTGTTCAAAGGGAAGGGGGCAGGGAGGGGGCGTAATTACCTCGCAGGGCAGGAAGGGTAGTGCCCAACCCTGTTTCCCAGGAGGAAGCCCTGGTCTGGGGGGCTGGGGCCAGGGAGAGTGAGGGCTGCAGGGCTGCAGCTGCCTCCAGTGAGGGGCTACTATTTTTAGCCCAGGGAGGGAGCTGGGAATTTATACACAGACTTGCTGGCTCCACCACACCCGGGGATGCCCTGATGCCCCAAGGGGGTGGGCAGCAGTGTGAAGGAATCTAGGTCAGTGCAGACCCATCTTTGTTTCTCAAGCTGTGACATGGGTACAGCAAACCCAGTCCTGTAAGGTTTCCTGGCCAGAGCATCCCCTGGGGTCCCTATGGGTTTGGGACACCTTCCCCCGACAAAAAAAGCCCAGCTTAATCTTCACCTAACCCCAGCTGGTCACTCTCCACCCAGAGGTACAGGGTATCCTCTTAAATATTCACACAGGCCCACCCTCACAGCTCTTGGGGTTAGAAAACCCACACTCTGGCCTCCTGAATCACAGCCCCACCTGCCACCCTTTGCGCCCAGGTGCATTTGTTTAACCTTCTCTGCCTGTTCCAAGCTGGGTGCCCGGCTCCAAGGGCACTGGTTCCCCATAAATGTTGATTAGTGAATGAGTCTGTGTGCTCCCTCCCTCACACCCTCATCCCCTAGGATTTTTGGTGTCTGTCTACAAAGAGGCCTCAAAAATAAATTAAAAAAAAAATTTTTTTAAGTGGAGGATTGGGGGAGATCAGGTCATGAACTTGAGTTCCAAACCAGTTTCTGCTTCCAAATCTCTGTGTGAGCTTGGGCAAGCCATCCCAAGAAATTCAAAGTAACATGGGCCCATCTAAGTCTTAACCACTTAAGCAATACCAAAGTGAGGTGATTACATTTCTGCTGGATACAGCTTTGCCTGATCTCCTTTGGTGAAAGGAAAAAGTTGGCAATTGTTAGGCCTTAAAGACAGACACACAGCAGCCATTGGAGACTTTCTGCACGATATAAACCGAACGAACCAAAATACAATCCAACAGGGACACTCATTATTATAGTGGGGAGTAAAAAAAATAATAAAAAGTAAGATGTGATCAAAACTTTTAAAGGTCGGAGGGGGGTGCTGGACCCCAGCAGGAAGCTCAGTCGTCCGTCTGTGGTCCCACCTGACCAGGGGTTGACTTGTCCCTTAGGCACAGGGCCCCCCAAATGTAGAAGAGGCGAAAACACCCAGGATGTAATAACGAATATAAAATAATGGATTCAGCCTCAATTATATTCATCTTTACACCAACGCGGTTATAAAATATTTTAAATAGTTTTTCATAGAAGAGGGTTACCCTGACCCTAACCCTCGAAACCAAAGTGCCCAAGAGCCAGGAAACACATAATATGGCTCTGCTTGTCTCCGTTGACGGCGGGGACACTTCTAAGCTGGGGTCCAGGCTGAGGTCCGAGTGAGCAATTCCCGCCCACCAGGTGCTGGGGACATCTGGGCACCTGGGAAGCGAAGGTGAGAAACCTACGCGGGGTGCGCGCGCCACCTGCCGGGCGCGGGCGGGACTGCAGCCGGCCGGGGTGGGGCCTCCCGGAGGGGCGGGGCCTGTGAGTGAGGTCGTCGCCGGTGGCCGCCAGGTGGCGCCGTCTCCCCTGAAACGGAGTTTCGCGCCCAGACGTGGGGAAACTGAGGCCCGCGGAGCCGCTTTCGTCTCCGTACCTGCCTTGGAACTCTCCAGGGTTGCCAGGTCAAATACAAGACTCGCGGTTAAATTTGAATTTTTCGGATGAACAACGAATAATTTTTTCCCTGTAGTCCTAACCCTAACACTAACACTAATCATACACAGGACATACTGAAAAGCGTTCCCTGTTGTTTATCTGCCAAGAACTGCAAATCCTGTAACTCTGTTCGCTCAGTCTAGCCATCCTTGTGATGCTCTGAGGCGAGGAGAATTCAGTCACCCGGCAGCCCTACCCACAGCTTCTCCAAAGCTCAGCTGGGCATCTCTGTCCCGCCCTCTCCCCAGCAGGATCTGAGGTCTCAGGTCCCATCCCTTCTTCCCTGCCCAGACACCCCCTTATCCCCATGCTGTGGCCCGCGAGGTCCCACCACCCTTCCCAGGTGGGCTGCACTAGTGTAACCCTGGTCCTAGCAGCACCAAAGTCTAGGAGAATAGTCACAGTGACAAAATAAGAAATTGAAAAAGCTTCTGCATCCTCGGACCATGTCCCTCCCTGCTGAGAAGCCTCCCATGGCTCCCATAGTCCTCAGGGAAAAGACCCAGCGCATCCTGGGTGCTTGCAAAGTCCTCACCCCCTCTCATCTCCCCTCCTTACCTGCCTCCAGCCCCACAGGCATCCTCCATCTGCCTCAAATCCACTGGGTGTAGCGTGCCTCAGGGCCTTTGCACGGGCTGTACTCGCCTCTGATGTGCCCTTTCCCCACCTCTGACCTCAGTTCCTATTTCCTGGACTCACCTGCTCCATGGAGCCCTCCTGGAATCCCTTCCCCCACATCACTGCTGTGGCCCCAGCCCCCAACGCAGAGCTTGGCACACCGAGGGGGCTCTGAAAACTGTGTCTAGCTGAATAAACTCCGATGAAACAAACAGCACACCGGGAGGCCACGGTTTTGAAATGACTCCTCTGCCTGGATGTCACTTTCAATCTTTTAACAATCTTTGTTTTTTCAAACTTTTTCAGATAATCGTAGAGTCGTGCAAAATATAATGCGGAGAGATTTGGTGTCTGCCGCACCTGGCTTGCTAGTAACATTTCGCAAAGCTGTACTGGACTATCACAATCAGGGTGCTGCCACTGATGCAACCCACCAGCCTCACTCAGATTTCCCCATTTCACTCGTGCCTGTGTGTGTACTTCTGTCAAATGTTATCACCTGCATAGGGCCCTGCCTCTGCCGCCCCAGGTGGGCTGCATCCCAGAGTGGCTGCCCGCCCGCCCGCCTGTCCACCGTCCCTAAGCCCTGCAACCACTAGTCTGCTCCCCATTTCCACAGTTCTACCATCTCAGAAATGTTATACAGATGTGCTGGGTGTGGTGGTGGCACCAGTCCTAGGGACTGGGGAGGCTGAGGCGGGAGGATCACTTGAGCCCAGGAGTTGGAGGCTGCAGGGAGCTACGATGACAGCACTGCAGTCCAGCCTGGGTGACAGAACTCATAAAAATGTTATATGGGCCAGGCACAGTGGCTCACGCCTGTAATCCTAGCTCTCTGGGAGGCTGAGGCGGGCAGATCGTTCAAGGTCAGGAGTTCGAGACCAGCCTGAGCAAGAGCAAGACCCCATCTCTACTAAAAATAGAAAGAAATTAATTGGCCAACTAAAACTATATAGAAAAACTTAGCTGGGCATGGTGGCACGTGCTTATAGTCCCAGCTACTCAGGAGGCTGAAGCAGGAGGATCACTTGAGGCCAGGAGTCTGAGGTTGCTGTGAGCTAAGCTTATGCCACGGCACTCTAGCCTGGGCAACAGAGTGAGACTCTGTAAAAAAAAAAAAAAAAAAAAAAAAAGTTACATGGATAGAGTCATACATTTTGTGGGATTCGCTTTTTTTTTTGGCTCGACATAATTCCTGGAGATCCATCTCAGTTGCTCCTATGGATAGTTTTTTTCCTTTTCACTGTTGACTGGCATTCTATGGTGCACATGGAGGAACCTCAGCTTGTTTAATCAATCACCTGTTGAAGGACATTTGGTTGTTTCAGTTTGGGGCTGTTACAAATAAAGCTGCTATGAAGATTTGCATAAAAGTTTGGGGGTTTTTTGTTGTTTTTGTTTTTTTAGAGATGGGGGCTGGCTCTGCTGCCCAACCTAGAGTGCAGTGTTCAGATCATAGCTCCCTGCTGCCCGGACCTCATGGGCTCCAGTGATGCTCAGGTGCATGCCACCACATCTGCCTTTTTATTTTATTTTTTAAATTTTTTGCTAGAGACAGGGTCTCACTATGTTGCCCAGGTTGATCATGAACTCCTGGGCTCAAGTGATCCTCCCACCTCAGCCACCTGAGTAGCTGAGACTACTAGTGAATAGTTGGCTAATTAAAAAAAAAAAAACATGTTTTTAGAGATGGGGTCTTGCTATTTTGCCCAGGCTGGTCTTGAACTCTTGGCCTCAAATGATTCTCTCACCTTGGCCTCCCAAAGTGCTGGGATTACAGGTGCGAGCCACCATGCCCACTGTATACAATTTTTTTTTGAGACAGGGTCTCACTCTGTCACCCAGGATAGACTGCAGTGCCATCATCATAGCTCACTGCAGCCTCCAACTCCTGGGCTCAGGCGATCCTCCTACCTCAGCCTCACAAGTAGCTGGGACTACAAGTGTGCACCACCATGCCTGGTTAATTTTTCTATTTTTTATAAAGATAGGCTCTCAGTCTTGCTCAGGATGGCCTCGAACTGAACTCCTAACCTCAAGTAATCCTTCCACCTCGGCCTCCTAAAGTGCTAGGATTCCTGGCACGAAAGCTAGGATACTGAGCCTGGCTGTATAGACGTTTTTGTGTTAATATAGGTGTTCATTTCTCTGGAATAATTGTCCAAGAGTCCCTCTTTAACTGTGGTGTTGTTCTTTTAAACTTATTTTCACAGGGAAATCCTCAACTTCCTCTGCACACACCACAACACGTGTGGTTATCCATCCCACAGATATTTATCCAGCGTGCTGGGCTCTGGGGACACAGTGGGGACATGCACCCAGCAGGCACAGCACAAGGTGATCCAACCCACTATGGGGGCAGCACCGGGCAGGCCCAGATGATGTGTCTGACTCAGGCTGGAGGGATCCAGGAGGGCTTCTCGGAGGAGGCGGTAGCTGAGCTGAGCCCTGATGGATCAGTGAGAGTATATACAGCACAGTAGAGAAAACAGCATGTGCAAAGGCCCAGAGGCAGGAGGGATGAGAGCAATTCTCAGAGAATCAAACAGAGTATAATAAGTCTGGGGAGCAGAGGAGAGGAGAGGAAGCGGGCAAAGGGGAGAAACTTACCCTCATCTCCAGCCCAGGCCAGGACACCAGGTCCCAAAGACCAGGACAAGCGAGCTTTAGGCCAATGTCAAAATCACCTTATGGGCCGGGCGCGGTGGCTCACGCCTGTAATCCTAGCACTCTGGGAGGCTGAGGCGGGCGAATTGCTGGAGGTTAGCAGTTCGAAACCAGCCTGAGCAAAAGCGAGACCCCGTCTCTACTAAAAATAGAAAGAAATTAATTGGCCAACTAACATATATAGAAAAAATTAGCCAGGCATGATGGCGCATGCCTGTAGTCCCAGCTACACGGGAGGCTGAGGCAAGAGGATCGCTTGAGCCCAGGAGATTGAGGTTGCTGTGAGCTAGGCTGACGCCACGGCACTCTAGCCTGGACAACAAAGTGAGACTCTGTCTCAAAAAAAAAAAAAAAAAAATCACCTTATGTTTCAGCCTCTTGGTCTCAACATTAGCATCTCAGCAAACATGGGGACCTGGGTCCCTCAAAGAGATGGACAATTGTCCTTTGGGGTGGCTAAGCCTGGGGTCTGAGGGCTGCTGGGGAGGCTGCACTGAATCCCTCCTCCTGGTAGGGACATGCAGCTCCACCCCCTTAAAGGTAGAACTTGTGACAGCTCCAGCCCACACAGTGTGGCAGAAGTGACCATGTGGGACTTCTGAGTTCAAGCCTTAAGAGTCCTTGCAGCTTCTGCCTCCTTTTGGAAGCTTCTACCAAGGAATGGTGGCCTTGCCAAGACTGCCATACTGGGAGGAAGCACAAGCAGCCCCGTGGGGGGGCAACTCAGCCCCCAGCCAGGAGAGCAGTGCCTTCTTGGGCCTTCCCAGTCCAGCCCCAGCAGTCATGGCCGATGCCACAAGGGTCAGAAGAACCTCCCGGCTGAGCCTGGTCACTCCACAGAATCCTGAGCGGTAACAAACCAATGCTGGTCCACAGTTCTGCTCCGGGGTGGTTGGTTATGTAGCAGACAATCCTGCTTCTCCTGTGGGCAGCTCTGCGCACTGCGGTCCAAGGAGGACTTATTTTTAAGGACTCTATTACTTAACATGCCCACGGAAGACTCTGGACACTCACCAGGTAGCAATAACGATACCTTGTTTCATCAATTCTAAGGTGGACGTTGTTTCTACATTTTAATATCTCTGAAAGTGGGATGGATCTTACAAACTTACAGCCAAGCACAAGATTAGTGTGTGAAGACGTCTGACACTTCCTGGAAAGATCCCGAAAGTCCCCGTATTAATACACCTTTAATTTCAGGAAATACAGAAATAAGAATTACAATATCAATAGCAAACATTACAGCAAACCTGCACCAAACGGCACAAGAGGATAAAATATTTTCACTGATTATCTTGGACAACAATACAAATACTGAGAACAGAGAAGGGCTGTTGTTCTAGTAGCCCCTGCTGCAGACAGGCCCATCTGGATGCCCTCGGAGCTTGGCTCAGAGAGGGGCAGTGTGCTCCCCCACGACACACAGCCTGCGCGCTGCCGGCCCGTTGCTTCTGGGCTTCGGCGTCCTGGCGGGGGCCGGGTGCGCGGCCAGGCTGTGCAGCTCGGCGTGGGGGGCGGCGGAGTCGGGGGGCCCGGACCGGCGGGGCCGGCGGGGGCGCCGAGGCGCGCAGGGGCAGACGCGGCGGAAGGCCTGTCTGAAGTGGGAGCCCAGGAAGGCGTAGAGCAGCGGGTTGAGCGCCGAGTTGCTGTAGGACATGCAGTGCGCCCAGGTCTTGAGCGCGTAGGCAGCGTAGCTGCGGGGGTGCCAGGCGCCCGCCGGGCCCAGCGCCTGCAGCACCAGGAACAGCTGGATGGGGCCCCAGCAGGCGGCGAAGAGCAGGACCACGGCCGCCACCAGCCGCGAGACCTTGGCACGCACGGCGCCCGCGCGCTCGGCCAGCAGCTGCCCCTGCGCGGCGGGAGGAGGAGGTTGGAAGCAAGCGCTGAGGCCGCGCTGGGCCCTCGGAGCTCCCCTCCGGGACGCCCTGGGCTAGACCTCGGGTTCTCTGAGCCCCACATCCGAGCCTCCCGCCCGCCCGCCGCCGCGCCGTCCCCCCAGCCGCGCACCTGGAGCGTACTGTCGGCGGGCGCGGGGCGCACGGCGGCCCGGCCCAGGTGGCGCAGCATGGCCCCGTAGCAGGCGCAGGTGGCGAGCAGCGGGAGCAGGTAGAGCGCCAGCAGGTTGTAGAGCGCGAAGGCGCGCTCGAGGGCGCGGCTGGGGAAGGCCTCGCTGCAGTAGGTGCGCGGCCCCGGCGACAGGCGGTGCAGGGCCAGCACCGGCGCAGACACGGCCGCAGAGCCTGCGCCACGGGCCCAGATGAAGACCCTAAACCCGGGGACGAGGGGCGCGGCGGGCCAGGGTTTGGGCCTCGGCTCCCCAGGTGCCTCCCCGGGCAGTGCTCACTGACACTGAGCCAACCTGCCATGTACCCGGCGTCTCCGTCTGCACCCTCGGTGGCCCTTCGCAGGGAAAGCTATTCGCCCATTTTTCAGATGCCCGACCAAAGCGTGGGGAGGGGCATTGGTGGCCCGGGACCCCAGGCCGCGAGGACTTGTCCCCTCACCCCCGCACGGCCCCTGCGCTCTACTCACCAGCCCAGATGCTGAGGCTGACGGCCAGCGCCAGGCGGGGCGTGCGGCGGTGCAGGGCGCGCAGCGGGAACACTGTCACGTACCAGCGGTCCACGCTCATGACCGTCAGAGTGGCGCACGTGGCCTGCACGGACACCTGGAAAAGCGGGAGCCGGGTGGGACCGCCTGCTCCGTTTGGAGCCTGCCCTTTCCGGCCATCTTGCCGGTTCCCCCACGTGTCCGACCACTCAGGCACACACGGAATGTGTCCCCAGAGGGGTGTCCAGTGGCCACCGGTTGAGGGGGAAGGAGGGGGGACTGGGGAGAGGAGCCCAGGAGGTGAGAGGAGCCACTTGGGTGTGCTGATACCCCGAAGTCTGAGAGGGAGAGAGGCAGAACCGTCCTGGGATGAAGGAACAGACGGAGAAGGAAGCTGGGGGCCGGGTCACCTTCCCTGGGTCCACCTGCCACCCGCCCCAACCCCTGTGACCCTGGGCTTCTGTCTGTATCCCTCCTCATCGCCCCCCACTTGGCGCTCCCCACTCTGGTCCAGGCTCCAGCAGCGCCCACCCAGACTGTCTGGGCGCCCCGCTGCTGCGCCCCTGCCCCAGGCTCTCCTCCGAAGCCCCCAAGCTAGGTCCAGCCACCCACTCCCAGACTCTGCCTGCGCCCCGCGCAAGGTCCCCACCTTCGCCCCCAACCCCTCCCCCAGCCCGAGCACCTGTTGAATGTAGTTGACGAACTTGCACATGAAGTCGCCCAGCACCCAGGCGGGCAGCGGGTACAGCAGCGCTGTGAAGGGCACGCAGCACAGCAGGAAGGTGACGTCCGTGACCGCCAGGTTGGCTGGGGGGTGGGGGTGTGGGGGGGAAGCGCGGGGCTGGACGAGGAGCGCCGCGGGCCGCACCCCGCGCAGCGCTCTCTGCCCAGCCCTGGGCCCCTCCTTGGTCCCAGCGGCCAGCGGATGGGCTGCCGGAAGGCCCCCAGAGCGCACCGGCACCCTCAGGCGGGGAAGTTGGGCACCCGCTAGCATCCCCCCTTACGTCCCAAACACCCCACAGCGCCGCGGCTCGGCCCTCCTGGCGGCAATGCGTCCTGCTCTCCCCGTCCCAGCTGCGTGAGCCTGAGCAGGCCCTGCCCCTCTCAGCCTCAGTTTCCTCCCCTGCAAACCCGAGACGGTGGCGTCCGGCCCGAGGCCACTCCAGAGCAGCCACAGGGCAGAGGTCGCAAACTGAGACCCACGGACAAGGCAGCCCCTCCCCCCACCCATTTTGTTCAGCGGACTCCGGGTCACAGGACGCATCGCTCCAGGACATCTTCCTTGATGGCAGGCCAAGGTCTCCATGTGCCACTGCCTGCGACCCCCGGCCAGCGTGGGACCTCCCACGCTAGAGTTTCCGAGCCCTACCCGCGGGTACCGGGAGGTTAGGGAACGGACGCGACCCCCGGAGTGGCAGGCAGGTGCGGACCGCGCCCCCCGGCACTCACCAATGTAGAAGTTGGTCACCGTCCGCATCTGCTTGTGGCGGCAGATGACGTAGATGACCAGCGAGTTCCCCGCCAGGCCGAGACACATCAGGGCGGCGAAGAAAAGAGGCACGAGCCAGGCGTCCACGGGCCGCGGCGCGGGGGCCAGGCCGTCCGAGGCGTTGGCGCCGCAGCCCGGGCAGCCCGACGCGTTGCCCGGCGCCCACCAGGACTCATTGGGCGCCGCCGTCGCCACGGCGTGCAGGGCCTCACCGCCCTCCTCCTCCCCGCCGCCCTCCAGGATTGCGCTTCGGGACGGACGCCGGGACCTTCCTCGCAGCCACCCGCGGGAGATGCGCGGGCGGAGCTCAGGAAGGGACTCGGCTGGAGGCCGGAGGGCGGCTTGGCTGGGCTCCGAGGCTGCTCTGCTCGCTCCCGCCTCGGCAGCCGCGCGTTTATACCCCGCGCCCCCCTCGTCCCCGCCTTCCCGCCTCTCCCGCCGCCGCTCCGCGCCCCGCCCGCGCCTCCATTCACGCGCGCGGCGGCCCCTCCCCCGTCCCTCCCGCCCGGGCGCGGCCCGGGTGACGGTGCGGGAGCAGCGGGCCGGAGCGGGTGGGCTGCGCGGAGGCTGCTGTGGACCCCGCAAGGGCAGGTACCAACCCGCGGGTAGAGACCGCCAGGCGCGACAAGCTGTCAGCGCAAGGCCGCAAAACCCAAGGCATGTTGGTGGCACGGACTTTGACTTTCCAAGGCAATGGGGCTCCGGGTGGGTGGGCCCAGGCTGCAGGGGAGGCCAGTCCTCCGTGGACCCGAGTAAGGGTACCTTGGGTTTGTCCCCAAGACACTGAGGAGCCACGGAAGGTTACGGGTTGGTGGCTTGGGGCTGAATGTTGCAAACCAGAACCCTAGGGCTGCGGTCCCCAACCCCTGGGATGCAGACCCCCGTGGCCTGTTGGGGACCCGCTGCCGAGCTCCACCCTTGTCCGTGGGAAAATCGTCATCCATGAAACTTAGGAAGGGGGTGCGCAGGGCAGGAGACCAGTGAGATGAAACTGGTCCCTGGTGCCAAAAAGGTTGGGGACCGCGGCCCTGGGGCATGTCTGTGTCCAACCTGACTGGCAGGGAGTGGCTGATACCTGTGGAGCCCTGAACTCAGGTGACACTGGCAGAAGGAACCAGGTGGAATGCAATTTACAAAGGCCACAACCTTGACCCCACAATCCCTCACCTGGAAAGGTACCTCAGAAACTCTCCTAGGAGGCCAGGTGCAATCCTGCTACAGGGGCCCGGGTGTCCCAGCGTCGCGGAGTACAATGCAACAGAGAAAAAGGTGCTGTCACTTGTGTTGTTGTCTCTCGCTCTCTCTTTTTTCCTGAAACAGGGTCTCACTCCATCACCCAGGCTGGAGTGCAGCGTTGCGATCACAGCTCACCGCAGCCTTGAATTCCCGGGCTCAAGCCATCCTCCTGCCCCAGCCTCCAGAGCAGCTGGGACTACAGGCTTGCACCACTACACCCAACTAACTTTTCTAGTTTTTTGTAGAGACGGGGTCTCGCTGTGTTGCCCAGTCTAGCCTTGAATCTCGAACTCTTGGGCTCAAGCCATCCTCCTGCCTCAGCCTCCCAAAGTGCTGGGACTACAGGTGCGAGCCACCGTGTCCACCCTAAAAATTATTCTTGACCATGGTCTACAAAATCACAAAAGGGAAGAAAATGCCTTTGGGGCAACAATGAAGGCCGGGTTAGGATGAGGAGACCAGATGGGTACCAGGTGGGGGTAGAGAACTGTCCTGAGGGAAATGCTGAGTCCCACTGGCGTGGGAGTGGGCCCTGCAGGTGGCTGGCCCTTCAGCTGGGGCGTGTCTGTGGAGCAGCAGCTGTGCAGGCCAAGGCCAGGGCGACTAGGAGTCTGGGGGTCTGGGAAGGCGTTAAGAAGGTTCAGGACGGGTCCCCTGGGACTGAAGTCCGAGAATGGGAGCAGGGCCCACTAGGGCCTCTGGAAGTGACTCCTGCTTTCTGGGCTCCTGTCCGTTTATGGAGCTGCTACCATGCCCAAGATCAGGAAACCGAACACCCCCATCCCCAAAAGCCCCCTCCCAGGCACCCCTCTGGGAAGCACCTTCTGCACCCAATTGGTATCAGCATTGATTTATTTTGCTTCTTTTCACATTTATTTCTACACAAAGTCATGGTATGTGCACTTTTGAGTCTTTTAACGGTTTCTCCTCCTTTTTTTCTTTTTCCTGCTTGCTCTTTATTTGTTAAGGCAACAAGGTCTTCTGTACAGTTCCCACCAGGCTGGACTCAGCAGGTTGCATCCCTGTTTAATATGGTCCTCGATGCCCTGCACTTCTTGCGGACAGAAGGGGGGATTCCAGGTTCTAGAGTGTGTTTACTTTTCTGCTCTAAACCCTCCCATGGCTCCCCAGTACCCTCAGGACAAGAAAACCCAGACCTATCATCACAGGGCACCAAGTTACCCACCTTACTCCGGTCACTCTGGCTGTGCCCCCCACCCCCGCCTTGCAGCGGCTGTTCCCTCTGCTTCATACCCGCTTCCTGTTTCACGGGGAAGCTGGTGCAGCTGGCCAGCCCCCCTCTCAGAGGCCTTCCCTGACCGCTGCAGCCTCTTCCCCACCCCATCCAGCGGGGCAGGGGGCTTTCTTGGTCACTGCTGGGTCCCCAGTGCCCGCCCAGTCCACAGTGGGCATTTGCTGATGAATAAACCCCGAAGCGGGAGTGAGGTGGGGGTGACATTGTCCTGTTTTTAGAGACAAGTAAACTGGGGCCGCCCAGCCAGCGCTCAGGGCCGGCCCCAGTGAGGACTGCAGGGGCTGGTGGAAGGAAAGCCTCGGGGTGGTGATGGTTTCAGCCATCCCGGGCCTCCAAAACGGCCTCCCTCTCTCTCCCCACTACCAAGGCCTCAGTTTCTCCGTCTGTCTGCCCACCCCCTGGTTCCGGGTTGGGTCCAGGCGTGGGGATCATGGCCCAGTCCCCGCCTCCTAGCCTCAGTTTCCCCGTCTGTCCTTTCCCCTGGGCTACATTTCCGGGTGTAGAGAACATGGCCGGATCCCCGTCCCAACCCTGTCTCAGTTTCCCCGTCTGTGCCTCCGCGGCTGGATTCCCTGTCCCCCGCCCCCGCCTCAGTTTCCCCTTCTGTCTAACCGGGCCGAGTTCCGCCCCTGCCCGCCGCGGCCCGGCGCCGGGATCGTGGCGGCCCCCGCCCCGCGCGTCCGGCCTCCAGGCCCCGCCCCGGCCCGCCCCTGGGCGCCCGTCACTTCCTGCCCGGCCCGGTGAAGGCCCGGCCGGGCGGCGGCGGCGGCGGCTGCGTCCGAGCCATGGTCGCCCTGGAGAACCCGGAGGGCGGCCCGGAGGTGGCGACGGCGGAGGGCGCCCCGGGCGGGCGGCGGCTGCTGTGAGCGCGGGCGGGCGGCGGGCGGGTCCGGGCTCCCCTGCGCCCCCGCCCCGTCGCTCGCTGCGCCCCGGGCTGGGCGGGGGCGTGGGCGAGCGGTCGCCGGTGCGCCTCTGTGCGCCTCTGTGTGCCGGCGGGCGCACTCCGCGCTCGCGCCTCCGCCGGCCGGGCCGAGGGCTCCGCACAGGGGCCCCGCCCGGGCCCGCGCCCCTCGCACACCTGGGTCGCGCGCCGGTCCCCTGCGCGCCGGCTGCGTTTCTCCGACGCCCAGCGCCCCTTTCCGGGTGCACCGGCGCTCCGTCTTTCTTTGGGTGGATACCCAGCAAGGCGCGGGCGGGGGACTTAAAACCCGGGGCGCACCGGGGCCCTCTGTGCTCCGAGTGCGACCCGGGACCCGGAAGCGCCGTGTGTGTCCGGGTGTTTGCGCGACTCCCCTGCGCTCGCCCGCGCCGTCCGTGGGGGCGAGGGGGCGGCTCGCGTCCGTTTCTGCCCCCTTCGCGTGCCGCCGGTGCTCCCTGGGCAGGGCTGTGCCCCCCTTCCGTGCCTCGGTTTCCCCATCTGTCAAATGTGACAGTCACACTGGTCTCTTTTCAGAGTGACCGAGGGTCGGTGTTACCTGGCACTCACAGGTGCCCAGCAGACGGGAGCGGCCATCCTTTAATTACTGCTTTAAGTTATTGCCCTATGTTGTCGTTGTGTTAGCGTTATTTTAAAGTGAGTGTATCACTGCGTTTGCCACGTTGCTGTTTTTACTGTCATTCTTGTCGTGCCACCGTCACCTGGGGGTTTGCCCAGAGACCACACAGGGCTGTTTATGGTGGGCACTTCCGGGCCGGATGGGCTCCTCCCCCAGCTGCTCAGGCCAGGTGTAGACACTTGGTGCCTGAAGATGTAAATACACTCGCACTTCCTTTCTCCTCGGAGAGCCCTTCTCACCCCACTTGTTTTTCTTTTTTTTGAGACAGGGTCTCGCTCTGTCGCCCAGGCTGGAGTGCAGCGGTGCAGTCACAGCTCGCTGCAGCCTCCAACTCCTGGGCTCGAGCCATCATCCTCCTGCCTCAGCCTCCTGAGTCACGGGGACTACAAGTGCCACCATCACCCGGCTAATTTTTCTAATTTTTGTAGAGATGGAGTCTCGCTATGTTGCCCAGGCTGGTCTCGAGCTCCTGGGCTCAAATGATCCTCCCACCTCGGCCTCCTAAAGCTCTAGGATTACAGGTGTGAGCCACTCTGTCTGGCCTCACCCCAAATTTATTCCTCACCTCCCCCAGACCTTCCCCCTCCCTCACTTCTTGGGCATTTATTTACCTGCTGGCTACCCCTTTCCCTCCCCATCCTGGTGGGGGGCTGGGGACTGCTTGGGGTGCCCCCAGCCTGCCACACCCCAAGCTGAGTCACCTCTGCCCTGAGCCCTGGTTTCCTGCTGGGGAAGTGGCCTCCTCTCTGGCAGGTTCCTGGGGGAGGGGTGGGGGTGCGGGCCCGGGGAGTGGGCTCAGAGCGCCCCTTCTTAGAGTCTGTGGGGAGTAGAATTGGGGGCAACCAGGAGTCCTGTTCTACCCACACTGGCTTAGCAGCTTCCACAGTGTGGACGGTCCACTCCCAGTGGGCACTGGTAACTTCCACCGTGTAAACATCTCTGGGGTCCTGCTGGGTACAGGAAGCCTGGGCCCCCTTCTCTGGATCCTCAGTTTCCCTGTTGGTAAAGTGATCTTGTTGGGTGGCAGGAGAAACAGATGAACTAGCCCTTGGGCGAGGGTGTAAACAGAAGTTTAGTTATTCATTCCACGCACACACTGTGGGCTGGGTGCTGAGCATTCGCTGCCTGGGGCTCTGGTGAGGCTGTGATTAAGGGGCAACCGAGTGAGGGGCCTGCAGGAGCTGCGGGTTGGGCTGGGTGGGGGTTGGGCGGTGATAGTGGAGCCAGTCAGCACATGCAAAGGCCCTGGGGTGGGCAGTTCCCGGTGAGGCTGAGGCCCTCCCAGGAGGAGGTCCCTGTGGGTGGGCGTAGGTACTCTGCTGTGCTCTGCCTCCCCCTCCCATTTCTGGGGTGGGGTGTCAGGGACTCTAGGCCGCACAGTCCCCCACAGAGGCCAAATATGTCTTGTTTCCTGCTGGAATCTGGTTGAAGTCAGGAGCTTGACGTGGTGGTGGGACTCACTTTCCAGTGCTCAGCTCAGCACTTGGGGACCACGGGAGGGTGGTGAGCCCCCCTGAGCACCCGTGGAAGCAGGGGTGGGCCCGCCAGTGTGGTCCAATGCTGAGCCAAGAAGGAGCCGGGCCTCGCTCTGAGGGCACTAGGGAGCCATGGCTGGTGCTGGAGCTGGGAAGGGACCAGGCAGGTCTTTGGGAGCCTGAAGGGAGCACGTGGCTCAGTCGGTCCAGGTCAGACCCAGGTGCACCCCTTGCCTGCGTGGTGGCTGGGACGGCACTAGGCCCCTGTTGTGAGGGCTTGAGTTGTGCCCCAAGTCCCGCCCCACTCTGACGTCTCCCCTGGGATGTAGCCCTGTTATCAGCCCCGTCCAGCTGCCGGGGTGGAGACACAGGCGCTGGGCCCTGGGGAGGCCGTGGGCGAACCTGAGGTGTGGGCCGGGGTGCTCAGGCCTCCGGGGGCAGCCTCAGCTCAGGTCTGGCCTCAAAGACATTGGCTTAATGTAACCGTGCGTGTCCCTTGAGTGGTCATCAGTTGCCACACTGCGTGCTGAGGACCTGACTTGCCCTGCGCTCTTCCAACTTCCGTCTTCTCAGCTGTGGGAACTTGCAGGGTGACTTTGCACCTTTACCAATCTGTATAATGGATGTCAAAATACTAGGGACACCAAATGAGCCCAACCTGGAGAAAACACTCCACCCAGGGATGCTGCTGTGACCAAGAAGGGTGTGGTATGGTTGAGGAGGTGAGCTCCCCGTCACAGGAGGAAACCAAGTAGGTGACAGCTGAGATAAAGAGGGGAATATCTGTCCTGGCCCCACTTGACTCTGACTGCCCCTCCCAGACCCACAGGCACCTGCAGGAACTGTTCCTATCCCCGCTTTGCAGAGAGTGGGCTGCTGGTCGCTGAGCAAAGTAGGTGGAGTTCAAACTTGGGGCTGAGATTCCGGGGCCTGCTCTCTTCACTGCAGCCCAGTGAGGAGTCCACCTCTGAGTGGACAAGTTCCGAGTCCCTTGTCCTGGGTGGAAGCCTGGCTGTTCCTCTGCCTGTGTGTCCGGCAGGTGAGAACTCGGGCCCTTGTGAGTTCAGGGGTCAAATAACTTTTCATAGACTTTTGCCTAAAAGGCTGTCATGCCAACTTCAGATGGCCCTGGATGTCCTCAGCCTGTTTACTTTTTTTTTTTTTTTTTTTGAGACAGTCTTGTTCTGTCACCCAGGCTGGAGCGCAGTGGTGTCATCAGAGCTCCCTGCAGCCTCCAACTCCTAGGCTCAAGCGATCCTCCTGCCTCAGCCTCCCAGGTAGCTGGGACTATAGGTGCCACCACTACACCTGGCTAATTTTTCTATTTTTTTATACAGACAGGGTCTCATTCTTGTTCAGGCTGGTCTTGAACTCCTGGCCTCAACTGATCTTTCCGCCTTAGCCTCCCAAAGTGTTAGGATTATAAATGTGAGCCACGGTGCCCGGCCCTGTTTACTTTTTGATCCAGAGGTAACAGCTGTTCTATCAAGTGCACAGACTTAAGGCTTGACTCTTTACGTATGTGTAGACCCTGGCAAGCACTGACCTCGGTCCTAATCCCCTCGACGGCATTTTGTCTCAGCTGTCCTAGGGTTTCAAGGCATTTTCTAGTCTTTTGGGGGAGTGGCTTGGGGGTGTGCCTCTGTTCTTAATTTGTGTCTCGGGAACTCTGGACAGTAGGAGAGTTTGGGTGGGGATTTGGACTCTTGGCTTAGTCTTAGAATCATGGGATTTTGTTGAAAATTGATTTGACATTTTCGTTCGTTTGGTTTTACTTTTTTTGAGACAGAGTCTCACTTTGTCAGTGCAGTGGCATCGTCATAGCTCACAGCAACCTCTAACTCCTGGGCTCAAGCGATCCTCCTGCCTCAGCCTCCCGAGTAGCTGGGACAACAAATGCCACCACCATGCCTGGCTGCTTTTAAATTTTTTTATAGAGACAGGGGCTTGCTATGTTGCTAAGGCTCTTCTCGAACTCTTGGCCTCAAGTGGTCCTCCAACCTCAGCCTCCCAAAGTGGTAGGCATGAGCACCCGGTCAGTAGTTATTTCTTGAGCACCTACTGTGTGCGGGTGGGGGGTGCAGGGAGTGAGGATGGGGAGAGTGGGTGTTGAGTAGGGGGGTCAGGTGCCTCATGGAGGAGGTTTGGACGAAAGCCAAAGGGAGATGGGGCGCGCAGGGCCTGGAGGGGGTGTGCCGGGCAGCGGCACCGCTGGGCAGACGCCTGGAGGTGGGAGCGTGCGTCGTGCCCGTCTGCGTGCCTGGGGCAGGGTGTGTGCTGGCTGTTGGGTGGCGGGGGTGGGAGGATCTGGTACCCCAGACTCGGGAATCCACCGCCACCGTGAGCCCCGTGGTGTGGGGGCTTCTGAGCCGGGGAGAGCTCTGCAGTCAGGGCTGAGCACGCTGTGTTGTTTCTGCTTTCTGGAAAGTTTCCATCTAAGAGGCCCCCCCACCCCGCTTCCTGGGGGGCTGCAGTGCCTGGCGTAACTATCTGTCCCCTTCTCCAAGTGGCTTGGCCCTTGGGACCCCGTGGGGGGCCTGGCCCTGCCAGCTAATCCTGCTCCGCAATTAATGCAATTTGCTCGGAGCAACGCAGCTTAGCCCTGGGGGGCCGCTGCAGCCCTCTCTGCTCGGGCTCCTGGGGGTGTTGAGGGGGAGTACTGGGGGCCGGAGGCAGGTGGGCTTGGGCGTAGTCTTGTGTTTCTGGGGGTGTTTCCTGGCTTATCTGCTGCTGGGGGTGGGGAGTGCTAGCTAAAACCAAGTTTCTTGGATCTCCACTTCCAGAAGAGGCTGGTGTTCAAGTCTTGGAGGCTGTGGGCCTCGTTGGCTGGCAGCTAAAATCTTGAAGGGTGTTGGGGGCAGCAGCTTTTCTTGGCCATCCCCTGCTGTGTGACTTTGGGCAAGTGTCTTCCCTTCTCTGAGCCTCAAGTTTACTGATCTGTCTTCACAATAGTACTTTAAGGATCTAGGTAGGATTCCACTGCCAAAGAGGAGGGTGAGCTCCCCATTGCTGGGGGAAACCAAGCAGGCAGTGGCTACGGTAGGGTTCTGCCTGGAGATCCTGGCCTGTCTTGGCCCTAAGGACCGCCCCCCACCCCGGCCCACAGGCCTCTTCCAGGCTGTCTGCCCACTCTGGCCGGCTCCCAGGTGAAGAGACTTTCGGCTTCTAAGCGGAAGCAACACTTCATCAACCAGGCAGTGAGGAACTCAGACCTCGTGCCCAAGGCCAAGGGGCGGAAGAGCCTCCAGCGCCTGGAGAACAGTGAGCAGGGGTGGGGAGGCATCTCTTGGGCTCCTGGGCCTAAGACAAAGCGTGCATGTTGGTCATATCTGTTGCCCATTCCATGAGCCAGGCACTGAGCCAGGCAGTGCTGAGGGCCCAGAGAGGTGTCAGGTCTGGGCCAGGGGAGCAGGTAACAGAGCCAGAGACAGACACTCCCCAGACTCTTAGATCAGGGCTGGGCCAAAGGGACCTCTGGGCATTGGAGCTGGGGCTTTAAAGGATGTGTAGGAGTTCGACAAGTCAGGGAGAGGTAGGTAAAGCTCTGGAGGCTGCCTGGTTTCTGTACTTTGGGGGAAAGACAGTTGGATCAGGAGGTGCAGAGGTTGAGAGGGTAGAATGGGAGGAAGGTTGGTCCTTGGGTCCCCATGGAGCTTAGGGGGCTTCTAGCATCACTCCAGCCCAGAGGCCATCTGTTTCCCTCTAGCCCAGTACCTCTTGACCCTGTTGGAGACAGATGGAGGCCCACCTGGCCTGGAGGACGGGGACCTAGCACACCCCGCGGCACCAGGCATCTTCGCGGAGGCCTGCAACAACGCCACCTACGTGGAGGTGAGGCCCCAGACCCCTCGCCCTCCACGGGGCACCTGCCTCCTGGCGGCTTCTGGTGCTGAGCTGGCTTCTCCGCCAGCAGCACCCCGGCTTACGACCTCCTGGTGGGGTCCCCAGACCGGGCCAGAACCCCCACCCCACCCCGGGACTTCCCAGCGCCCGGGATTCATCTGCTTATCACACTCGGGAGTCAGTGACACGCGTGGCGGGGCGGGGGTGTCTGTGACCCGGACCCATCCCCCTCCTGGTCCCTGGCTTTCCCCACACCCGGCTGGGGGCCCGGCCACAGTGGGTGCCCCCCGTCAGTGGGCAGAGGTGTTCACAGGAAGTGCCTCTGCGTACTTGGAGGCCTTCTAGGTCCATCTGCAGAGCGGGGAAACTGAGGCCCAGAGGCGCAGACATCAGCCCGGGATCTCACAGCCTGCCCACCTCTTCCAGGTCTGGAATGACTTCATGAACCGCTCCGGCGAGGAGCAGGAGCGCGTGCTCCGCTACCTGGAGGATGAGGGCAGGAGCAAGGCACGGAGGCGCGGTCCTGGCCGCGGGGAGGACCAGCGGAGAGGTGCGGCCTGGTGGGCCTGGAGGGCGGGACCACGGCATGGTGGGGCGGGGCCCGGGTGGAAGAGGCCAGGGCCTGGTGTGGGCGGGGCCTGTGTGGTTGGTGGGCGGGGCCAACGGCCTGGGGTAGGTGGGGCCTGGTGTGAGCGGGACCATCAGGCTAATGTGGGCGGGGCCAGGGCATGGAAGAAGGTGTGCTGGGGGCGGAGCCTGGTGTGTGGGCGAGGCCAGGGTATGGATGTGGGTGTGCTTGGGTGGGCGGGGCCTAGTGTGGGTGGGGTCAGGGCATGGATGTGTATGCTTGGCTGGGTGGGGCCTAGTGTGGGTGGGGTCAGGATATGGATGTGGGTGTGCTTGGGTGGGCGGGGCCTAGTGCGGGTGGAGCCAGTGCATGGATGTGTATGCTTGGCTGGGCGGGGCCTAGTGTGGATGGGGCCAGTGCATGGATGTGTATGCTTGGCTGGGCGAGGCCTAGTGTGAATGGGGCCAGTGCATGGATGTGTATGCTTGGCTGGGCGGGGCCTAGTGTGGGCGGGGTCAGGGTATAGATGTGTATGCTTGGCTGGGTGGGACCTGGGGCCTGCCCGCAGCTGCCCGTTGGGCTCTTGCAGAGGACCCAGCCTACACGCCCCGAGAGTGCTTCCAGCGCATCAGTCGGCGTCTGCGAGCTGTGCTCAAGCGGAGCCGCATCCCCATGGTGAGCACTGGGCCTATCTCCCTACCCGCCTGGCCCTTTTCCATGTCACGTGAGCTGGAGCAGCTCTCAAAGGGCTCTCCTTTGAGTATGATGGACAGGGCCAATGAAGGTGGGCACTGCAGGGTGTGTAGGAGTTCCCCAAGCAAAAGACGCATGGCAATGTCTAAGCACCTGGTATCCTTGGGGTAGCCTCAGGTGGTAGGTCAGAGGTGACAATTGAACGCAGGGCTTTGGGTTTACAGGGCCCTGGACAGCCTGGTCGGGCTCCTGTGGGTGCCTGACCGCTGGGCCCGGCTCTCCCACAGGAGACACTGGAGACCTGGGAGGAGCGGCTGCTCAGGTTCTTCTCCATGTCCCCCCAGGCCGTGTACACGGCCATGCTGGACAACAGGTGAGCGGTGGGGCAGGTGCAGCGAGCCCCGCCCCCATGCTGGGCTGGCAGAGCCTGGCCACTCACCCCGTCCCTCCACAGCTTCGAGAGGCTCCTGCTTCACGCCGTCTGCCAGTACATGGACCTCATCTCGGCCAGTAAGTGCCTGGTGGCCCCAGGACCCCAGTTGGCCCATTCAACTTGGGCACAAGGCCAGGCCTCCCCTGGTCTGGTTCCCCAGTGGGGAGACGTCTGGGGGAGGCGGCCGGGTTCCGGGAGTACGGGTAGTGTGGACAGAAACCCGCTGCGTGTCTGGCCCCACACTGGGACGCTGGTGGCACAGTTAGACAACTGGATGCAGACGCCCCTCGACCTACATCTTCAGGGCTGGGAGGAGGGTGGGGGACCAAGGTAGGGGTGGTGAAGCTGGGCTTTGGGGGAACTCACAGACTTGGAGATGAGATGTGGACACCCAGTGTCCGGAGGGTTCACATTTAGCCATGGGGCACCCCCATGCCATACATGGGACTTCAGGCCAGTGTCCCCTCCTGAGGCCTTTGTCCCTGCTTTTATGATGGGGGCTGGCCTCAGGACACAGTCCCCTAGAAAGGGTCCCCACAGGCCCTTGCTGGCCCCAGGCACCCCATCTGGTCCTGGCTTCTGCACCTGTCTCTCCGCCTCCTGCCTGGAGTTGCCAAGGAGACAGTTTCCATGGAAACCCCAATGGTTCCTCCTCTGTCTCCTGTGGGAGCCACAGCCCCCACGCCCGCCTTTGTTCCTGCAGAGTCGGAGTGGAGGGCCTTGGCTGGGGTGGGAGCCTCTCTGTGGGGGTAGGGCTGCGGTCTAGACATGGAAGAAGAGGGGGGTCTTAGCAAGATCGGGGAGCAGGGAAGGGGGTTCCAGGCGGCGGCAAGCCTGGAGGTGGGACTGAGTCTGGGTTGGGAGGGAGAGGGCCTGGGAGGGGGGTGGGTCTGGACCACCTAGGACCTTGCGGCTTCAAGGTGGTCACCTCTGCAGGGCAGGGATGGAGGCTGGACTCTTGGTCAGGCACGTGTGTGAGTGCCACGTGGCCTTGGGTCTGAGCATCCTGAGGTCCCCATCTGGACAATAGGATGTGGTGGTAAAGAGTGCAGTGCCCGAGGATCGAAGCCCTCGGGGAGCATTAGTTCCTGTGAGCCACGCCCTGGACCTGCGGGTCAGCCAGTCCACGATGACCAGCTTGGGGCGACATCTAGCAGGGAAGGGGAGGGGCAGGGCACTGTCCTCTGGGGCTGCGCCACTCCGTGCACCATGACTCATACTCGGTTTATTCTTGTCCCGCCCGCAGGTGCAGACCTGGAGGGCAGGCGGCAGATGAAAGTCAGCAATCGCCACCTGGACTTTTGGCCACCGGAGCTGCTCCTGTCTGCCTACCTGGAGCAGCACAGCTGATGGTGGCCCCGGTGTCCCTGCCTGTCCCCACGCCCGGCGCCAAGACCTCTGACACGTTCTGCTAAAACATCTTTAATATTTTTAGAATTCGTCCTTGGAAACCTCTTTCCCTTGGGGTGGTCTCTCTCACCTTTGCCCCCTCCTCACCCGGCTCTCGGCCAGCAGTGCTGGCGGTGGCTGGGACTGCCCAGACCATCCCAGCCACATAGTGCCACCCTGCTCTGGGACTTCTGTTTGGGTGGGGAGACCTGACTGGGCGCTTCCATGTTTCTTCTTTGTGTAGCTTTTTGGCCCAGTGTGAAGCTCGAGTGAGGAGGGAGAGGCTGGGTTTTTATCGCTTTTAATGAATTTGGTGTGATTTGTTGTAGATTTTTAAATTCCCCTTTTGGAGAGAAAAACCAAAAACTCACCCCATCTGGTAAATCGTGGGACTTGGTCCCAGCCCTTGCTTGACCCCTCCCAGTTTTTAGCTTGAATAGTGGCGGTGGGGGTCCCTAGCACCTTGGCCATCACCCCAGGAGCATCTTGTCTCGTTTGTGTGTGCGCGCGTGCACCCCACAACCAAGGGCGGAAGCTGCGTCTTAAGGGCTGGTTTTATCCTCTTTTTGTTCTGCGTGTCCTCCCTCGGCCCCTCGTTTGGCAGCTCTCGGGGTCCCCCCTGCTCTCCCTGTCCTTGTCCCTCCCCTCTTCCCCCTCCCTGCCTTCTGGGGTGTAGGACTTCCAGCCAGAAGCCTCTGCCCTCAGACTGCCCTGTCCCCTCCCCGCGTCCCCCCAGCCTGGCTCCGGCCTGACAGCTCAGGTTGCCCCCATGCTGGTTCCCTGGCCTGGGCCACCTCAGCCGGCCTGGGCCACCTCAGCCGGCCTGGGGGGACCCTGCCCCCTTGCTGTGTGTGTGTGGGTAGTTGTGCTTTGGGAGACTGTGGAGGGTTCAATAAATTTTTGGTGCTCTGGCCTGGGCCCGTGTGGGTTTTTCTTGAGGGTGAGGCTGGGGACACAGTAGGTCCTGGTCACTGTGGGCTGCAGGGGCACGCGCTGCCCCTGCCCACTGGCCCCCTCTTTGGCGCCTGGGGCCCAACCCTGGCTCTGCCGCTTGTCTGCTGTGCAGCTGCCTTCACAAAGCACTGCAACCTGGTGGCTTAAAAGGGCAATGTCACAGTCCTGGAGGCCAGAAATCTGAAATGCAGGTGCTGGCAGGCCACGCTCCCTCCAGCTGCTCTGGGGCCCCAGCGTCCCTTGGCTTGTGGCTGCATGGCTGCGGCCTCTGCTTCTGTCTGCCTTGGTGTGGCCTTCCTCCCCATGTCTCTGTGTGTGAGTCTGTGTGTGTCCAAACCCCTTTCTGTAAGGGCACCAGTCACGTGTTGGATGAGGGCCCACCCTGACCACCTCATTTTAACTTGATGACCTGCATAGAGACCGTATTTCTTTACCGTCTCACCTGTGATCCCAGCACTCTGGGAGGCTGAGATGGGAGGATCCCTTGAGGTCAGGAGTTCAGTTTGAGACCAGTCTGAGCAACAGCAAGACCCCGTTTCTACTAAGAATAGAAAAATTAACCAGGCCTGGTGGTGCACACCTGTAGTCCTGCACCTGTAGTCCCAGCTACTTGGGAGGCTGAGGCAGGAGGATTGCTTGAGCCCAGGAGTTGGAGGCAGCTGTGAGCTAGGCTGACGCCATGACACTCTAGGCCGGGCAACAGAGCGAGATTGTCTCAGAAAACAAACAAAAAGATGCTATTTCCAAATAATGGCACAGTCTGAGGTGGTGAGGGGGTTAGGAATTAAATGAGTCTCTTTTGGAAAACCCCATGCAGCCCATAGCCTCACTTAACCTGTCTGTGCCTCAGTTTCCCCATGTGAAAGATGGGTGCACAGGAGGGGTGAATGAGACAGCGATGGCTCTCATTGCATATCATTGTTTATGGAAATACACTTAGCCTCACTGTGTGGCTAGTTGTACTGTATCTGACTTGTTTCCATTTACAATAATTTATACTCTTCCCCCCAATGTTGTTTTGAAAACTCAGACCTCCAGGGGAGGGGCAGGAGCCACCTTTCTTAACTGTTTACTTCTTTTTTTTTTTTTTTTTGAGCCGGAGTGGAGTGTATGGTGTGATCACAGTCCATTGCGAACTCCTGGGCTCCGTCTCCTGAGTAGCTGGGACTACAGGCGAGCACCACCACGCCCCACTAATTTTTTATTTTTAGTAGAGACGGGGATCTCACTCTTGCTCAGGCTGGTCTTGAACTCCTGGCCTCAAGCGATCCTCCCAACTCAGCCTCCTCCCTAGTAGCTGGGACTCCAGGCGCGCACCACCACATCCAGCTAATTTTTAAATTTTTTGTAGAGATGGGGTCTCCCTGCGTTGGCCAGGCTGGTCTCAAACTTCTGGGCTCAAGAGATCCTCCCACCTCGGCCTCCCAAAGTGCTGGGATCACAGGCATGCACCACTGCAGCCAACACTGGGGCCCTTGTTTTTAAATAAACATTTAATTTTAGAACCGTTTTATATTTACGGAATTACTGTGAAAGTGCTGCAGAACGTTCCCGCGTACCCCATACCCGGTTTCTCCCGAGACTGATAGGTTGGCATCTGTCACAGTTAATACCCTGGTGCCCACGCTTTATTCAGGGTTTTTGTAATTTTCTTCATTTCCCCTAATGTTCTGTTTCTGCCCCAAGACCCCACCCAGGATCCCACGTGGCATTTCGTGGCCACGTCTCTGCAAGCTCCTCTGGCTGTGACAGTTTCTTGGACTTTGTGTTTGCTTTTGATGACCTGGGTAGTTTGAGGAGGGCTGCCCGGGATTTATGGCAGAATGTCCCTCAGATGTCTCATCAGTAGCCTGGGGTGATGCCTTTCGGGAGGGAGACCACAGAGGTAAAGCGCCATCGTCACCACATCAGGCCTCAAGGGTGCACGGGAATAACATGACTCTTGGCAGCTGAGTTGACCTTGGTCACACAGTGACACAAACAGGCTTCCCCCCTTCTGTGCTGTCCCCAGAGGGTGCAGTCCACAGGGAAGGGCTGGGAGCCGTGGTCCAGCTCCTTGTGCATAGAGTATCTACAACAATCAGTAGGTTTTCTGCAGGGGACACTTCTCCCTCATTTGTCTTTAATTCTTTTCTTTACTCACTGCTATAAATCAGAGGACTGATTTATTTATTTATTCAACCACTTCTTTAATAAGGACTCGTGGATATTTACTCTCTAGTGTGAGTTATAAGCCAGTGTGACTTTCTGGCTGGAATGTTTCCAGCTTTGGCCACGGCTGCTGTTCCAGTAGCTCGTGTCTCTTGGAGGCAGCCTCATCCTTGCATGGTTTTTATTTTTTGAGCACTTACTGCTTTCTGGAGCCTGTGGCATTTATTGGGCCACCCCTTAGAAACCAAGCTGTGGGCCCTGGGGGTACCCTGTGCCACCTGAACACACTTCACAAAGTTTTCAAGGCCAGAGTAGGATACAAAAGGAAGCCCCTTCTGGGAAGGGGCTACATCCCCCGGTCCCCCAAGGGCAGGGCTGGGCCTCAGGGCTGGACAGTGGGGGCCAAGGGGAGCTGTCCCCGCAGCCGGCCAGTCCCCAGGTTGCGTCCACGCCCACGCGGGTTCGAGTCTCGACCGTACAGGGTCCCCTAGCCCAGTTCCTGGTCGCCTGGCCTCCAGGCACCGGGTGCCCCTTGCCCGCTATCTCAGGAAATGTTGGGTTGCCTAAAATAGGGAGGGCCCGTCAGGAATAGAATCAGTTTTTGGAAGAAAAATTAGGGGTGCATTTTTTTTATTTTTTTGCAACCCCTGCCTCCCACTCCTAGGGATGCAGTTTTAAGCAGGAAGGACTCTCAATTAGAAAAGGCACTTTATCAGAGCTTCAGTTTCCCCACCTGTGAACATGAGAAAAAAGAGCACAATATGGAATGAATTTTCACTAGTTTTACGGATGAGGAGCTGCAGATGCAGGAATAATGCTGAAAGATCCCTCAATTGCGTGAGTCACTTTACTTATGGGAACCTCAGTTTCCCTACTCGGTAACTAATACCACTAATGTGAGTCAAAAATATGGAACGCTTCACGAATTTGCGTGTCATCCTTGCGCAGGGGCCATGCTAATCTTCTCTGTATCGTTCCAATTTTAGTATATGTGCTGCCGAAGCGAGCACAAATACACACCCGCTCCAAGGCCTAGTTATAGTGCCTCATTTTAAAAACTTGACACTAATGGTGAATTCCCTCAATCCGACTTAGCAGCTCACATTTTGCAATATTAGCGTATCATATAGCGCACCCCATGTATTTATTAACCGGGATTGAGAGAGTAACCGCTGTTCTACCAAATATCGCTGCGGTGGCTGCTGGGAATTACTGGCTCATTACCATGTATGTAAATAATCCCGGATGCAGGGGCGGGCCCGGAGCCGCCGCCGTCCCAGAAGTCCCTGAAGAGCGGCGGCGCTGCGGAGGCTACTTGTTGGTCCCGGGGAAGATGGCGGCGCCGGGGCCGGGGCTTTAGTGCAGTGCGTCCCGCGGACGCCCGCTCGGCCTGGCTCACGGGCCGGCAGGTAAGCGGGGACAGCAGGGGTCCGAGGTCGGGGGCGGCCGGCCTGCGGACTGCGCGTGTGGCCCCCGGGGACGCGGCGCCACGAAGGCGGGGCCTGCGGGGTCAGTGGGCGGGCCTGGAGCAAAGGGTGCTGGGTACGCGGCCCGGGGCACGTGGTGTTGGGGCCCCGGGAATGGGGCGGAAACTTGGGGGGGGAAGGTGGAGGCCGGGGGTGGGGTCGGGGAACTCGGGGGCGGGGCCTGGGCGGTGTATGTGGTCCTTGGGGTGGAGCCTGGGGACGGGTGGGGGGACAGGGGCAGGGCCTGGGTAGTGCATGGGGTCTCTGGGGCGGGGCCTGGAAACTGTATGGGGTGGCTGGGGTGGAGCCTGCAGAGTGTATGGGGTCCCTAGAGTGGTGCCTGGAGAGTGTATGGGGTCCCTGGGGTGGAGCCTGGAGAATGTATGGGGTCCCTGGGGTGGGGCCTGGGGACAGGTGGAGGGACGGGGGCGGAGCCTGGAGAGTATATGGGGTCCCTGGGGCGGGGCCTGGAGAGTGCGTGGGGTGCCTGGGGTGGAGCCTGAGTTTAGGGTGGGGCCGGGACTCGCGGGGTGAATTGGGGGCGGGATCTGGAAGGTAAAGGGGGTCGAAGAAGGCGGGTAAAAGACTAACGGGCTTGTAGGCAGACCTTGAGGAAGTTGGGGGGCGCAGGTCGGTAACCGTTAAGAAAAATGGGGTTGATGGTAATTCATTTTCACTGAGCTTTTGTCACGGTGAAGGGAAACGTCTACATCGAGGAAATCTTCACTGCTCTCCGTGCTGGCTGTCACCCTGGGCCCCATGCCAACCGGCTCTCCCCAACTTGTCAGGCCCGGCCTGGCCCAAGGCAGTTCCGCCCTCTTGCATATCCCAAGCTGTTCCTTAGAAGAAAGAGCCCCTGATACAGCCTCCCCTGTAGTGAGCTATGATCCTACCACTGCTCCCCAGCCTGGGTGACAGAGCAAGATCCTGTCTCTTAAAAAAAAAAAATTCTACAAAGTCTTTTAAAGTTGAAAAAAAACCTGTAGGCCAGGCATGGCACACCTGTAATCCTAGCACTCTGGGAGGCCGAGGAGGGCTGATCATTTGAGGAGACCAGCCTGAGCAAGAGCGAGAACCCCTGTCTCAAAAAAAAAAAAAAAAAAAAAAAAAAAAAAGAAAGAAAGAAAAAAAAAAAACCTTGTAAATCAATACATGGAGGTTATTCATTGGTGTGGCCCAAAAATGTGGATCTCTTGAAGTAGAAGTGGAACTTACAGGTTTCAGGTGGGTTTGGAGATTCTTTGATTAGCAGTTAATTGGTTAGGAAGTAAACCCTGGTCTTGGAAAGGAGCGTTAAGGTGGGTGTGAAATTATCGTTGGGTGAAATTCAGAACAAAGATC